TTCTCGGAACAATTCCACATGCTTTGCACTCTAAGATATTACAATACCAAAGGTTGACGAAAAGTAAAAACAAGAAGTGTAGTTTTGATTTCGACCGCTTTTTATGTGCTATTTTTGATATTTTTTTGCGGTTCCTCAGCCTCAACATTGCTAAATTGCAAGTCGTCGCTGTATTTAAAATATTGTCAGGATTCATCAAAGGGATTTTAAAGTTTTTCACAACTGAGCGGGATATACTTTTTCAAGAGCGCAAATAATGGCGCATACAGTTTTTATTATGGTGCAGAGTGCTCAATCCGAGAAGCTTTTCAAAATGTATCGATCTATAGATGCACTGATCAGATGACTCTGAAACGTTGTCTATTGCTCTTCAAAATGTTACTCTTTAAAAGCTACGTGTCACAGTCTTTGATTACATTTCCGACTGTACTGATAAAACAATAGAAGGCAAGAAAAAGATACATTTTAAATTCTTTTTTTCTGGAAATTTAAATCTATCCATTCAGTAAGATCAAGCTATTCTTCTCGAAACCGTAAGAATTATGTATTCTGTCACCCAAATTTGTACTCCTATCGAACGTTCCGTGAACGGCAGAATTACGAAGTGCTATAGTTGCTGTTTAAAGCCAACATTGAATAATTATTTTTCAAAAATATTTTGAAGTGGATGTACTTTGTGATCTTTGCTTCAGGAACTCGGTGGATGGATGCGAGAACTCGAGCAAGATGTTAAGCATGTGCCCCTAGAGCTGTCTATATTGCAGGCATTTAACTATTCCGTCTTCCCTTTGTTTTGGGCTGGCGTTGAAGTCAATTACTTTGATTCCAAATCTCATTTGATTACGGTACTTTGCGCATGAGCTTTTTGTTTACACATTGTGGGATTCCCACCATTACTTCATTTTTAGATTTATGAACAGCTTCCTTTGTTGCTCAATCCGAGCGTTTACCAGTATGATAGGGCTGTGACGGCCGAGATGATAATCAATAAAGAAGGTCCGCAGGTGAGCAAATCTCACAGCAGAGATGCTTCACCCAATATATTTGTTTTTAGGCGACTTCTCTTCTCTTGGAAACTGGAGAAGAGATGGCCAACCTTCTCGGCTTCGACAGATCGTCTCCGGCAGTTCGAATGCTAATTGCTAGAATGATCGAATTAGAGTGGAAAATTACTGTTAGCGGTAGCAGGGTGTGCGAATACTGATTTAGAAATGTTTTCGATAAGCAAATCATCAAATTTAGTTCTACAAACACAAGAAAGAACGCTATGAAGTGATTTCCATAGTAGAATTGCAAATGTTGGCACCGGCGGTGAGCGAATTCACAGAATAAATGAATCAAGATTTCAAAACTTTCATTATTCAGATTGACTGGAGGTTGTTTCTGTCGTCGCTGACTGGAGAGGAGCTGCATGCTAAAGAGAAGATTGCTTTGAAAACGGGTCGGGAATGGCTAATCAAGCTTTCGCGTATTCTGCTCGAATACTTGGAGACTGAAGGAGGACAAGCGGTTGTGAGGAACTACATAAAATGGAAAACGCTGTTTTTCCATTTAGCATACGTGAAACCGAAATGTCGTGATGGCTTATTATGGGTTCGTTGTGCTGAATATTCTCGAAATACCATTATTGTATGGCTGTTAAAATGTGCGGACAAAGGTGTTGATATAGTACTACTTCATCTTATCACAAAGCGCAACGTTCTAATTAGCTTGGTCGTCGCTGCAATTCTGAATGGCAAAATTTGTAAAATTGTGAATCGAAGCCTTTATCATAGAGCATTGACATTAAAATGACGTTGAACATTCTGTAGATAAACGTTGTTTATAAACTGCAGTGAAGAACTTTTATAAAGATCAAGTAAGTGATATTTCACTCAGCTTATGCGGTGGGATTGCCCATAATGCTGGCGAGAAAATCGGTATTTACTATGAAAGGACTTGGGTCAAATTCTGTTTAGCAAACAAGGGTTACTTTGCATAGATTCTAATCTTTCTGAGCTTTATTTGTTTTGTCCTTCGACCTTAATCGCGCATGTGCCAGTTGCCTCTCCATAAGTTTTCAGAGTGTCGTTGAAATTTACTCTGGTCCTCCTCATCTTCGCAAGGAGTTCTGTATAATGCGAGCATCTGGTATCTTCCCTTTGTCGCTACCCTCAGTGCTCCGGAAGATCGACGGTGTAAAGAAAGCTAGAGATGTATGTAACCCTTTCATTGTGAAATGGCCGCAAAAAACCTAATTCTTCTTTCAGAATAGGAACCTGGTCAAACAAATTGCTTCGAACATTGTCGACGAATACAGAAAAATGTTGGAGTGGAGTAATGTCCTGGACAACGTGACCTCTCCTATAGTTCTGCAAAAGGTCCGAAATGTTCGTAAAAATGCTAGAAGTGTAAGCTTGACTTGTTTCAGCTTTCCAATATGTCAATTTTGATCAGCTATCCAGACAAGATCGACAATGAAATGGCGATGGAGAAGGAAGGCGATCGAGTTGGTTACCAATAGTCGATATTAAAATATTAAGAATGATGGATTTTACAGATAGCTAATGAATTGTTTTGGTCAATGGTTTTTGGAGCTGGTGCCGTTTACAGAGAGAAACTGAGGAGGTTGAGGAAACCAGTGAACCCCAAGTTTGTGAAGATCTTCTTTGAAAGAATGTAGCTGTGCATAAAAGAGCACCATATGACAGCAAAAGAGTAGTTTGCAATTTATTCTTGAATATATCCTATCCCCTTCACCTCCTAACTCCTTATTTTACTTACTTACTTAATGGCTCAACCTCAAGTACACAATTTTAAGAGACTGGGTCGATTCAAAGCCAGCGCTGTCTTCGACACCTATTCACAACTACGAAAGAAATTTGGTGCAGGTTCCTTTTGACGTTGTTCGCGCACCCATTGCTGACACTGATCTTCTCGAGTAAGTTGCTAACGAAACCGTCACTGCT